GAAATTCGCTCGAAAATCGGAAACAAGCATGAAGAAGAACTAGTTGATGTGAATGAAGAATCATCCGGAACACAAGATCTCAGTACAAAACCATTAGACATTGATGTTAAGACTGCCGTTGTAGAGAAGAAGAATCGACCAAAAAGAAAGGCAACTGTTCAAGGAGAACTTGTACGAAAACTGTCAAAACAAACGTAAAAACATTAGGAATCAGAACAAACGTAAAAACATTAGGAAAATGTTCATCAGTTCATATTTAGTTTAAGTTAGTCATTTGATCATGTTTAATGATCAACCCGGGGACTGTGACAGATTACGCAACATTACTTTAAATTTATTTGTTATCGTAATACTTCATGTAATAATATTAGAAATATATAAAGTTTCAAACAGTAATAATAGGCTTAAATAGGCTGGTTTTCGTATGCTCGTACATCGCAATAGTTGTCTGTTATATACCACAGTTATGAGTTATGACCAACTAGGAAGGATCTAACGCTTAACTAAGTGTCCTATCATCTTATTTATTCCATCACTTTTATTTGTTTACTATTTGCATTTTATTAGAGACTTTGCAGAGCATGTATTTACCATTTTACCTCATTGTGATGGCAGGGGTGGGTAAAAGAATTCATTTCTGTCAAATATTTAAAAGGCTGCTGATGTTAGCATGTACAGTGTAAATAAAGTAGAATAGTTGTAAGTTGAGTAAACAGAGTTATCTCAAAATGTTGAAATATTTGCTGGAAAATTTTCTGCAAAACTCTCAACTCAAACAAATTTCTGGGAACTAGGTTCCCAGGTTCCGATACTTTTTCCACCCCTGGAAGACACTGAAGTGTCAAAACGTTTGGTCGTGAATACAGTTTGACTAGACTTTGCAATCATTCATACAAACCAGAGTAGCAAGCGAAAACATGAAGGTATTACTATGTTCGGGACAAATTCACCCCCCCCCCCCACCAGTTTCAATATTTTGCGACGTGCCCGGAACCGTGGAAAGCAAACAGTACTGGCTTAAATTATATGTGTTCAGTACCTTGTACTTCTGACAGGAATTCCAAACGATTGAGCAAAGGCGATCAACTCGGCCGGTTCGATGTTGGAGAAAGCTACAAGGGAGTATCGAAATACTGTAGCAAAGTTTAAGGACCTCAACAAAGGGTGAATTTATGGCTGTGGCATACACCATAGTCACTACATACTGCAGGAATTGTCACGTTGTGCCAATTCATTCATGCCACTCCTTACCTATATCCTCTAACCGTTGTACATTGGAACAAATCATTTTCAATCTCAGCCAATCTGGTATCAGAACAACTTCTTCTCCCGTGTTGGGAAGGAATGCTTTCACGTTCCCTTCACCTGGACACCACGTGTCTAGCAGCTGATCAAAAAATTTACTGCCTTCTATAAACATTAAAGCAATAGGTTGGTTTCACTTGAATGTTTTACACACGTAAAAACGCACAAGTTGTCACAGGTCTGCAAACAATTTGTTACAAATCTGTTCACAAGCTGTCAACAAGTTGTCTTCGCATTGCTTGTTCCCAGTCGCTGTAACAAATTTGGAACAAGCTGTAACAAGCTTGATGGCATTATCGGACTTGTTACAAGGTTGTTCTAACAAGTCTGATACAGTCATGATGAACAAGAATGTTACAAGATTGACAACACCAGGTTGTAACAATATTGTTATACCATGACTGTATCGGACTTGTTGGAACAACCTTGCAACAAGCCTGATAATATTAACAAGGTTGTTACAAGTTGTTAACAGCTTGATCCAGACTTGTTGACAACTTGGGACAAGCAGTGCGAACACAACTTGTTGACGGCTTGTTGACAGACTTCCTGCAAGATGTGAGATTTTCGCGTGTGTACATGGTGTTTCACGTGGTGTTTCACGTGGTGTTTCATGTGGTGTTTCACGTGGTGTTTACGTGGTGTTTCACGTGGTGTTTCACGTGGTGTTTCACGTGGTGTTTCACATGGTGACCGAATCTGGGCATGATTAATACTCGCGAGACAATGAGACATTGGATATAGAGTGCCTTACCATGTGGTGGCCCAAAGGTCAGCAATACCATGGTCGCATGAATGATGTAAATTCCCATAGTTGTCGCCTTTCCAGCATGTGTCGTGTTCTTTGACCATCGCACATACAGAGACTCCTGCACATCATCCTTGTAAAAGCAGATCGAATACTTTACGGTTTTGGAATAATTGTCTTTATCAGTTCTAAGCTGTTCCCCTTAGTGGCATAATGTAGTTGTTGGCTAGTGGTCTGACCTCGGAATTAGTAAGGTCAAACTGGATGAACTCTTCTCACATGGGACTGAGGATAGATTATAGTCAGACAACTGCACACTGCAAGAAGCTCAGTCACAGGGGTGGAAAAATATTTGACTTTCTGGGAGCACAAGAAAACATTGAAAATTTTCTGTAAATAATCAAGTAAATCATCACTTGGACACTGTAACTGTGTGACACTAACAGTTGTCAAACTGGATGTCACGCTATATTTCACAAGAAAAAATATTTCACTGAGAATCTTAAAATATAACATAAAACTAATTTAGATAACATGAATAAAGGGTTGATCCTAAGGTAAATACAGATGCCAAAAAAGCTAGGGCACTACTGGGGAATACTATCAGGGAGGATCCGTGCTCTCCCAGAAAATTTTGAAAATCAGTTGTCCGAGATCGGCGAAAAATGCATTTACCATACAACATTTGTTACATCATTCTATAGTCTATATATTTATACACTCTCGCACTATTAAGATGGATGCACTTAAAATTGCATTTCTGAGCTCTTGGTGTGAATTTTCCTCTGAATTTCTCCGTTTATCTAAACTTTTACAATTATATTTCTCTTTCTTTGGGAAATATTTTCTGGGAACTCAAAAAATTTTCTGGGACCAATGGTCCCGTGGTCGATACTTTTTCCATTCCTGGTTACCAACTCTCAGATATAGTTGATGGAAGAACACAAACCACTGACAGTTGTTAATGATAAAAGCAAGGGATTCAACTTGAGACTACACAGTATTTTAAAATATATCACAACGTCTCTACTCACCCAAGCAAGCTCACTAGAACTGGTTTCCAGAGCTCTAGCCACTACAGAAGTAAAGGCCTTGAGTAAAGCCTGATGGGTCTGCCTTCCCTTGGCTGTGTCATTCTGAAGGATGTTCTTTAACACGGTTGAACGTTCCAACACAAGTTGAGCTAAATCCTGAAAAAGATATTGAAATATCTGCTGCATGAATGCAGGGTTTCATGGCCGAACTTTGAGGGGAGGTGCGCATCTCCGCTGAGATCGTTTTGCACCTCTCCTGAGAGATGACAGATCAAAGTGAAAATTTGACACTTTTTGGTTGCTTAGGGTCAATACATCCCTGTGTCAAGTACCCTTTAATGCAATGCAAAACTTTGTAGTAACTGTAATGAAGGACAAAATTGGATGAGTTGTACAGTCATAATTCATTAATACACTGATACATACTGTATGTACACTACATGCATATACGTCACGTCGTTGAATTTGGCCTGTTCTAAGCCCTAACTTTCCATGGGGGTCGTGAGCTAGACCACTGCACCTCCGCTAAATATTTTTCCACCTCCCCCACTATTTCCACCAAAATCCGGCCTTGCAGGGTTTAACAACAAGTACCTAAGCACAAAGAAAGTAATACAAAACTTACCACTGACACGTCCTTGGCGAACTCGGCCGTGCTGTATTTAGATAGGAATATGATGTACGTTTGTAATCTTTCAAAATTTAACTCTTCTGAGCACGCCTGAAAGAAAAACGTTATACTATACATACTAATATTCTGTTTTGCTCTATCACCTTCAAACCCCAGTAATGGTCATCAAGCCTTAAAATATCGGTCAGAGAACAGTCTGAGAAAATGTTCGATGACTTTGAGTTTGGGTCGGACATTATGTATTGTGATGTGAGACACCGCTCAGCTAAATCAGTGACATGTACCTTACGTAGTGCAAATGTTAAGGAACCCAATACAGCATCAAAATAAGGCAAAGTCGGCATTCTGTCGAGAAGCCAGCTGTACGAATCGTCTGATGTGTTTCCATTCTCGTTGCCAAACGTGAAGATCAAACTAAGAGCCTGAAATAAAAGCACGCAAAAGGTTGCTCATAACCGCTGTGGGTTTCTGTCTTATAACTACAGTCTTGAGGTCGGACAACTAAATCCCTGACGAAAGACTTTCGAGATGGTTCAGATACAAACCATGGCAGTTTATGGTAGACTAATACTACAGTATACCTACACTGAACCACCACATTTTCAGGTAGTTCAGACACAAACCACGACAGCTTATTGTAGAATACTACCTACACTGGACCACCACGTTTGAAATATCTTTTTCAGGTAGTTCAGACACAAACCACGACAGCTTATTGTAGAA